TGTACATGACATCAATAATCACATTCTAAATGAAATTCCAGGTTCTGCAAGAACATATAAGTCCATCGATACTGTAATAGATCAAAACGAGGTTGTAAACTACCCAACTGAATTTCTGAATTCACTTGATTTGCCAGGTATGCCGCATTGAAAACGGGAGTACCTATCATACTCCTCCGAAACATCAACCCACCCAGACTTTGTAACGGTACTCGTCTTTCAGTGAAAGGAATAATGACCAATATCCTCGAAGCTGAAATTCTAAATGGGCAAATTTAAAGGAGAAGATGTTCTGCTACCGCGTATTCCAATGACCCCCACAGATATGTCATTTGAATTCAAACGTTTGCAGTTTCCGGTGTGACTTGCTTTTGCCATCAACAAAGCCCAAGGACAGTCACTGCAAGTATGCGGTCTGAATTTGAAAAATCCATGCTTCTCCCACGGACAGCTCTATGTGGCCTGCTCACGTGTCGGAAGACCTTCTAATTTATTCGTGTACGCTCCAAAAACGGTAAAACAAAAAACATTGTTTATTCAAAACCACTTGAATAAACCTGATTATAACTAGCCGGAAAATTGCCAAATGCTTTTCACCAATTAACTACATCTCTGACAACAATTAAATACAAAATCACAAACATCAGAGCAACAGCAAGCGAAACTGGTTATCGATCAACTGCACGTCTCTCAAGCCCATTCGCCCATTCCTTTGAAACATCTTAGCAACGGTAAGAAAGACAAGTTACCGATTTAAAATACATTGCTCAAGCCCGATTATCTGAAACATCAAAACAAGAATTAAGAATAGAAAACGATAGAAAACTCACTTCTCTATTCAAACGCCGCCAATATGCTGGTTTAAATCTTACAGTATTTCACTATTATCCAATTACTAATTATCCCTATTATCCCAATTACTATCCCTATCCAAGTTATCATTAAAAAAATGGATCATTTATCTGTGTTTTGTAGTGCTCTCAAATTTAAGAATGAAACAGCTGGAATTTGCTGTTCTGGTGGAAAAGTGAAACTACCAGATTTAACGTCGCCAACTGACACATTATCAACGTTGTTATCGGGTCAATAAAATCAATTGAAACTTTTTTTGGCGAATATATGTCGGTATATTCGTGTTTCCAAATGACTTCATTCGGAGCTACAAGTATCGGTGTGCATATGGGCAGCCAAAGTTATTTATTACATTCACATGCAATCCTGCTTGAGCTGAAATTAAAGAGCTTTTGTAACCTTGGCAAGCATCATCTGATCTTCATGATATTACCGCACGTGAGTTAAAACAAATATTAAGCTCTATACTTGGTTTCATTGCAAAGCGTCATGTTTTTGGAAAGACACGGTTTTGAGGTATCCTATTGAATGGCAAAAATGAGGATTGCCAGCTTATTGAAAAAATCCCGCCATGCCAAATTGGTCAGCTCATATCAGCAGAAATACCAGATGTCGCCATTGATCCAGTCTTATTTATGACCATCATTCAAAATATGTTTTATGGTCCGTGTGCATCACCGTACATGTCTGTTTGAAAATGCACTAACGATATCCTAGAGAATTAACTGCTTTGACTATCACGGATTTTTTCACCATTAAATAAAATTCTCATTTCAAATCATAATCGCAAATCTCATTTAAACACCTAAATACATAAATTAAAATTCAAACTGAAAGCGTTGCAACGCGCGCAGGGTACAGCTAGTAGTAGATAAAAAAAATTTTAATCCGCCAGTTACAGCCGCTAACATTGGAAGTGTTTTTATTCAGTGTTATCATCGAATGTTAGTGTCTTCTATGCTTCTATAACAAATTATACCTCTGGGGTTACTGGATGGGAGATTTATTGTTCTCTGGTTCAGGTCAAAATTGTGATCTGTGGATGAATGAATGAATGGATGGATGTACAAATAGGTCAGCCCTAAAAAAGGGGGTGGCAGAGGTCGTATTCTTGGTCATAGATGGTGCCACTTGAAAACAAGAACAATGCCTTAATGACCTACGACAACAGCATCGAATGTTAGTAAATAAGTTTAATATGTACTTTTTGTTTGTATGCCACCGAAAAACTTATCCGGCACCCCTTAGGAGCACACGTGTCGCAGGTTCACCAACCCTGGAGCGAAAATGAAACGTATCAGCTTGGAACCACATTTTACCCTTTCCGGAATAGTACATTTTAGTACATTAGCAAGTACAAACCTTAGACAGTACATTAAAAGTGAAGCGACATACACATACGTTGTATAAAAAATATTGGTTTCAAAAGCGTTTGAAAGCAATTAGTTTATATTTCTAATGGTTTGTATTATGCGTTGAATTAGTCTTGCCAGACTAGCTACACTGAACTAGAAAAGGTTAAGCAACATCCTTCAGTAAACTGCCTTTAGATTGTTTTAATCTTTCCTTTTCTTATATTGACCACAAAAGTAATTGCTCGGAGCTTGAAACCTTTTTCGTTTTCACCTAATTTGCATACTAATTGTACAAAAATTCAACAACTTTTTAAAAGATTTCCCGAATCTGTATTAAAGGCAACCATTATGGTACTGCTCGAAATTTTTTTTATTCACAACTTAACTTTTTCAGGTACCTAAGGCGACAGCTCAGATTCTAGAAGCTCACGGTTATCTTGTCCAGTACAGGGGACTGGTAGCGGTGAAAGGAAAAGGTGAAATGGAAACATACTACGTCCTGGGGAGGCGTCGCTCAGTTGGAAGGCAGATGTCAGTGGGTCGCCATCCCAGTGTACACAAAAGCCTGGCAGCAGTCGTATATGGACTTGTTCGAGCCCGCAAAAAGGGTCTCGGGTCAAGTCTGAGTGTTCCTAGTCCTCAGAGGCGCCTGGCAGCACAGCCTCTGGTGCCGCCCTCTCGTCACAAACTTCAGAGAATTCTATCTGAAACACCCCACCCAGGTAGGAGAAAACGGATGCGTGAACGACGCATGACGGATGCCGGTGGCAGTAGTCACTCTTACCCGGACATGAGGAATGTTGTGATTGATCTCGATCTGAAAGGAATTTCTTGACCTAAATGTTCTGCACACGACACTCCCTCCCACCCTCATTGTGATATTTCATGAAAGCGTTGCGTCATTTCCTTGTGAATTGTTTCATTGTTCCACGGGTGAATGTCCAAGTGAATGCCGGTATTCTTTGCAACTCTATAAGGTTTAACTGAAATGGAATACAAAAAGAAGTTTTATTGCAATGATCTGATCCATTCAATTCCAATCTTAAAAAATACGATTCAAATGGTACAAGGTGATGTCATTTTTTTTATTTATTTTGAATAGTTAATTAGTTTTTCTACTGTTTAAGCGTTTAACGGGTGTTAGTCATCCTTTATACAAGTCTGTTTTAACCTCTTCACATTATCATTGGTTTCGCAGCTTGAACATTTTTGCGTTTGAGTGTATACCGTAAACTATCACACTGAGCCTGGTCAAAACTACAAAAAAAACCTGGTCGTAACTATCAGAATATGTTAAAATCTACCTTGTGTCTAGCTCTATGGGAACATAAAAAAAACATGGTAATTTTTACTGAAGCACTTCGATAATGATTTTGGTAAATTTAGATATTAATTATTGCTTTATACTAAGTGTTAAAATTGGTAAATGCGGTAAAATTTAGAAATTTTATCATACTTTAGAGCATGGTATAAAAATCATTTATTTGGTTTTCTTTACTTTTCAG